CCTTGTCCCTTAGAATTCATGTTCCATATTCAGGATTCAGGAAAGTCAGGTAACAGTGGAGTCCAGGAACCCTTGCCAGTATTCTGAGTGATTCAAGACTATCCCCGAAGCCTCCATATTAAGAGCTTGGAATTCAGGCCCAGAATTTCTCTGGTGGATGTACATATTACTTAGATAAGGATGCTTTGCATGTGGCCTGACAACTGCCCGTCAAATCTCCAGGCATAAGGAATTGGCACAAGGCAACAACACAAACTCAGTTTGGGGAAAGGGGTCCCAGAAGCTATTCTTATAATTCATCCAATGCACACCCGCTAAACAGGTCACTCAACTCCTTCAAATTTCTCTAACGCATCCACACAGTTGTCTTGGCAAGCACACAGAAAGAGTTTGCTACTGCCACCTTTTGGCCAAGTATCTCCTTTACTTTATGAAACTAAAGAATAACTAGGAGCAAAGCATGAAAAAAACTATTATTACTGAAAATCTGTGACTTCCTCCATTGCCCAATAAAAGCTTACTTTCCAGATTAGGAAACTCAAAAGTTTGATTATCAGAACTTTAGACAGGTTTTGGTTCTTATTTCTTTGTTCAACAGAACCAAAGCAAAGGAATAAACTAAAGGTGAAATAATATATATAAATACATCCAGGTAATGTAATACAACATTACGTGTACCAGGTAATGGCATGTGGGGGAGTTACTAGAGCAAATCTTTTGCAAATGCATGTAAGAAGTGCACTAACCGTTTGAATGTTAAGACAACACAAATAGTATGCATCTTTTTTCTGTGAATTCCTGCATTTTAACAAAGATATTTTATCACATTTATTGTTATTGACTCTGCTGTGTTTATTTATAACCTATATTTTTAGTTTCTAAAAAGCATGGTACATTTTAAAATTCTGAATTTTAGCATGAATTTGGGGGAAAATGGAAAGTTTACTGTATTGTAAATTTTTTGCTGATTTAATGAATCTTTATAAATGGTGTGTTAATATTGTGTTTCTTAATGTCGGTGGCTTTAGGTTTGTGTTAGTTCCCCAGCATGCTCACTGAGGAATTCAGGGAGTTGAGGTTCACACATGTTAAAACTGCCAAGATTGAGAAATAATGATGAAAATGTAGTTTTGGATTCCTTGTATGTAATAGACCAGAGGTCTCCAACCTTGGCAACTTGCGGACTTCAACTCTCAGTTTTTCTTTTTCTTTTTTTAAATTTTTTAAAGTTTTTATTGGGTACACAGGGAAAAAAAGTTAAAAACATTTGAACATGGTAAATCGTCTTTGACTGACATCTCCGTCTTGTCAGTCCATATTGTACATTAATTACATATATCTATATACAACTATACATCTCTGGTCTCTGTCTTAACTTATATCTTTGCTGTGACCTCCATTTTTTCCCCCTTCCATCTGTAAAATTTATTCCATATTCGATAAAATTCTGTTTCTTCCTGATTTTTTAATCTTTTAGTTATCCTGTCTAGTTCTGCGCAATACATAATTTTCTTTATTAGTACTTCCCCACTCGGTACTTCCATTGCTTTCCACTTTTGAGCAAATAGTATCCTTGCCGCCGTAACCACGTGAATAATTAGATATGTGTCATCTTTATTTACATTTTTCTCTAATATTCCTAATAGTAATGTCTCAGGTTTGTATTGAGTGTTTTGCCTAGTCATTTTTATTGCCCATTCCCAGACCATACGCCAATACACCTGTGCTTCTCTACATGTCCACCAAACATGAAAAAAGTGCCCTTTTCTTTTTTACACTTCCAGCACATAGGTGAGTATCCGTTATACATTTTGGCTAATCTGGCCGGAGGGAGATGCCATCTGTAAACCATCTTATACAGGTTTTCTTTATATGATGTCGCCAGTGTAATTTTGTTATTTCGGTCCCATACTTGCTGCCATTGATCCATATTTATATTATATCCTAGATCTATTGCCCATGTCACCATTGTTTCTTTAACCTGCTCCTCATATAGCTTATATTCCATCAAGTATTTATAAATATTCTTTGTTTTTTCTCCGGGCCTAGCAATATTTTATCTAACCCCGTATCTTGTCTGTTAATACCCCATTCTTGCTTATCCTTCATATATCTTGCTTGTATCTGGAGATAAGACCACCACTCCAAGTCTATTCCTTGTTGTCTTAGCTCTTGTTTTTGTTTTAAATAACCTTCTTCTGTCAAAATGTCTTTATATATAATAGCCTTGTCTTTCCTATACAGATTGGGATATGTTTTTATATATCAGTTTTTCAATTGATGTTGAAAATAACATCTTCAGCACTACCTACACATATGGCAACTAAGACAGATAGATCTATATGAGGAAAGAGGGCATGTGGGGATAGAAGGGACAAATGGCTGCATGTATTTATTTGATTTTATTATTCCATCTTTTTTATTTTATAAGAAATTAAAGATGCTGAACACATCCAACAAAGCTCCCTCTTCCTATTTTCCCCACAACAACCCTGTGAGGTAAGCTAAGCTGGGAAAGCATGACTGGCCTAAAGTTACTTAGCCCATATTTAATCTAGAGATGAGGACTAAAATCCCAAAACTATGATAATTGGTTTTGGAGAGAAAATGATGACACCGTATACCTGTGTTCTATTTGTGGAGAGAAAAACAAATATGCACAGGAATCCATATAGAAGACCACTTATTTCGAAGGAGAGGAGACAATAGAATTGGGCAGGGAATGATATCTACAGAGAGACAAGACAAAGGTACAGAAATAATAAACAATGGAAGATTAAATAATTGAAGTTGAGAGCAGCAAAAATACCCCAGCAAGGAGCTTTGTCATGAAATCTGAGATCTTAAGGCAAGGGTGTCAAACTAGCAACGTCACATCACATGTCGCGACGTATCGTGACTTTTTTGCCATTGCTGACAATGGGGTGGGCACGGTTTTGCTATGATGCATCCAGCCCGCGGGCCGGCAGTTGAACACCCCTGCAGAAGGATTCTGCAGCAACTGTGAGTCACTATATCGGAGGCAGCGAACAGGTCAAGATCAAAATGTGAGATAGTTCAGTTTGGCAGCAAGATCACAATATACAGTATTTGTAAGAACAGTAACGTGTTAGTAACAGATTAAAACAGTGAATATACACTAGGAATTTGGAAGCAAAGTGAGACTAGTTTAGATAAAAAGAATCAGAGTGCAAGGGAGAAATCAGGTGATCATTATCAAATGGACATTTAAGAAAATTAGTTGGGAAGGAAGAGAAATATAAGGTAAATGACGGGATTGAGAACTTCAAATATTGAAGAAATTCAGATTGTTGAGTTGCCACTTCACTGAAGATTTATTGACTACTAGAGGGAAGACATAAAAGTATATGAATATTCAGTTCCCCTCCTAAATTTCAATTTCAAACTTCTCACATGGCTGTTACCAACTAGGGCAGACAATAAGAGTGGCTTGTGGAAAGAGACCATTCCCCCCCCTTTTTTTTTGCTTCTTGCAATAGCCGGCTGGTAAAATTGCAGAATGGCAAGTGCTCTGCCAGTAAGATTTTGAATCGCAGGAGTTCTTCAATGCAGCACTCAGTTTTGAAGTCAGCTGAAAGGAGGGTGTTCCCTACTTTGAATAATTGTACCACCTTGGTCTATGACAAGGGTAGGCAACCTTGGCTCTTTTATGACTCGGGGACTTCAACTCCCAGAATTCCTGAGCCAGCAGAGCTGGCTCAGGAATTCTGGGAGTTGAAGTCCACGAGTCATAAAAGAGCCAAGGTTGCCTACCCCTGGTCTATGACAATTCGCCTCAGCCAACTTGTCATGGTCAACTCGCCACAACCAGCTTGCCACAGCCAAGTTGCTGCAGCCAACTTACTGCAGGACAACTCGTCACGACCGACTCGCTGGGGGACAACTCACTGCGGGACCATCAAAGAAATGGTGGAATAGAATCATTAAAGAAAGGATTCAAAAAGAGGAAAGAATGAAATGTGAATGACAAAAATTATTTTATTTTAAATAGTTGAATTGTTAAATTGTCCTGCAGCGAGGTATCCTGTGGTGAGTTGTCTCATTCCACTACCTCCTTACTAGACCAGGCAGTTGTATTCTTTCAATCAATGGCAATTCTTTCCTCAACAAAGTAAGTAATATGCATGCTACTTCTTCCATCAGATTTAGGTGAAAAATCTTTACTGCTTAATCTATTAGGTAAATGGAATCTCTTCCCATTCTCATCATTTGGTTGCTTGGAGAGAAAGCAGATGCAAAAACCAAACAAGCTCTACTGCATTGTCTCCTAGCAACAGGAAGAATTGTGTTCTAAAACCCTGTTGCTTTGAAGTCCAGCAGAATTGTTTGAGTGTGCAGATTTCATTCCACCATAAAAAAAAAACAACTGTGACTCAGTTTCTGCCTTAAACTGGAGAAGACGCTTCTTGTATGATCACCTGTACCAATGAAGGAGACTAATGGGCATTCCTCTTGAACTGGAGCTTTAGCAAATGGCTCAAGTAGCCCTTCCTAAACAATTTTAGATCTGCTGCACACTGAACATGGAATGTCTTTCTTCCTATATTTATCATCAATTGAACTATTTAAACCCTTCAATTTTAATAGTATTATGCAGTTTATTCAGAGGGAAATGCTGGTCAGTTGGGGATATTTCTGCTTTCAGGGTGGCATCCATTATCTAATGTGGGTATCAAGTAACACAGGGACCAGCTTAAGTTCCAAAGTAGGAAGGTGTCCCCATTGTAGAGGTGTGAAAAGGGCTTATTAAGAGTAACAGAATTAAGAGCACTGGAGATAATGCATGTGATGAATGCTGTTATTAAAAAATGCTGCTTAGGCTGGACCCACAGCAGTGTAGTGCTTAAGGCTGTGGTGGCAATAGCTATTAATATGTTCAACACTACAGTATAGAAAAGTAGTGCCTCTTTTTTCTGATGAAAGAAAAGTGACAATTTTTGCACCCATGATGGTAGACAAAATACAATGTCAGAAGTATGGAAAAGTTAGGTCATTTCCACCCCTTTATATTTTATTTAAAAGTTATTGCACATGTACCACTACTTATAGTCTTACCAATGGTAAAGGTTACACAACAGCAATAAAATCTGTCTAATTACATTTATCAATAAAAAGACATGACCATGCCTTTCTAAGCAAATATATAAAGTCATAACCAGTATTTTTCTTGACCCTCTTAACCAGGTTTTCCAACCTTGGCAATTTCCAGCAACCATTGCTGAGAATTCTGGGAGTTGAAGACCACTCACCTTCAATTTGCTAAGGTTAGGAAGCAATATTTTTGACTGTTCATAATATATTCATTCAGAATTCGCATAGAGAATTTCATGAACTATGACTGTGGCTGATGCTGATTCTCATACTACCTAAAAGATAAATGATTTTGGTCCATGTATGTATTAATTACACCCTTATTATAAAAATAAGTATTAGGTTTCTGTAGAAAAAGTAGTAGTTCTGCATTTTTCCCAACTGCACAGTACAAGCCAAACAATATTTAAATTTTAATACTGTTACAGGTATTTAATATTACATATCAGTATTTATAATACCAATCTGGAGTCAGCAGATTGAAAAAATAAGTACCTCAAGCAAACATGAGATTCTGCTGCAGCCAGTTTTTCATAATATTGTTGTATGAAAGTTAAAATAAACATTTTTTTAGTTACAAGTATATGCATTATAAAATATTAGCAAGATGGTGGCTTATATATACACACTGTACATTGCCATTACAAAGTCTTAATAGCAGTAATATATAAAGTGGTTTTATTTACACAAAAATAATCTTGAGGAAAGCATCTTTACAATTGAAATAAATAAGAATTCAGTAATTCGTTTAAAATCTTTTTGCTCAGAATGGATCTGAACAGACTAAATGACAAAATGAAACTGCAAATAATGCCAGATGAAAAGTCAGTTGCATTCTGATACAAGTGCAACTTTACTTTTAGCTTTCCTGGAGTTAAAAGTACAAACATGCAAGATAGATAAAGCTACCCTACACTGTGGAGCAAAGCCAAAAGCAGAAACAGTCTATTGAAAATATATAAGAGTATTCACAAAAGATACAATGTATTTTACAATCTTTAATATATAATATTTGGTGATGTCAAATTTCTGATACCTGCATAATTTATAGAACAGAATTTAGCTTAATCAGGCCATCATTTCCTTTAGGCAATTAAACTACACAGAATGCATCAACATTTCATCTGAGCAAGCTTCATTGTCAACTTGTTCAAGTTTTGGTTCAAAAACTGGGTTGGGGATGGTGCAGATGGGTAAATTTTAGAATTGTCTCCAAGTTTTTTTTTCTTTCATTTTAAAAAAATGCAATAAAGATCATATACACTGATATAGAGTAGGTGTTCTGCATGATTAAGGAAAAAGAGCTTACAAGAGCTTCAAATAAATCTTGGAATACAGGCGAATATTGCTGCTTTTCATAGAATCAGATAAACAAAAGAATTGAGGAAGTTACTGGGAAAGCGTTCACAAATTCAAGGAGATTCTCTAGTCATCACATGTAAAAAGAAGTATTCATTAAAAACAAAAACAAAGTAAAGCAAAACTAAACATATGTTTTGGAAAAAAGTGATTACTGTACTTTCTTCTAATAGCAGTATATTCTTCAATGCCATCATTACGAAGCTTTACTGAAACAGTTATCATGTCTGATTCTGTCAGGAGACAGTACAATCATAACTGCCTTCCTGAGGGGGATGGTCTTCCTTCTCCAGTCCAATCATGTCCTCATCATGTCGAATTGAAGTATTAGGACCAGCCTCATTTTGAGGACTAGCGCTGTGGTTAGCTGAAATCCGGTTCTCCTCCACCCTTGGACTGGCTTGTTCAGGCACCCTTGATAGATTTGTAGGCTGAAAGACTTCCAGTGGTACCTGTTCCTCTGATATCTCACTCAGTTTCTGCAGTTGTGGCTTGATAATGGTTAAAAATGGCTTATAGCCAGGACTAAAGAACATAAGAAAAGAAAATAAGCAATCAGTTCGAACATTTTAAAACTGCAAATTCAGCAACTGTCCTTCTCTGGTTATTAACTCGGTGTAGTAAGCCAACTCAACAGGTGGATGCCCTTTGCACAATGAAAATATATACGGTGTTCAAATTTTCACTAAAATTGATCTTGGTTTCTATACTTATTTTTGTTTTTTTATGTCAACCTGCAAGTGGTTTTTCAATGCTTTTATCTGGTGGAGATGGTTCTTGTTTTTCTTCCCATCTAATCTACTGTCCTGGAGCTTCCTAGCCATAGTTAGGTATTGCAACCTACTGCTTTACTATGAGAAATATGCTCATTCAAGGTACCGTGCATATTATTGGATACATACTTCTCTGTTCACATTACACATCTTCAAATGTTGAAATAAGAACTCTTGTCAAATGTATTAATAGGAAAAGTCAGGCAGTTACAAAATAATTCCATAGATAAATTATACCAGGTATTACAGTGAGGGAAAAAATTATTTGATCTCCTGCTGATTTTGTACTTTTGCCCACTGAGAAGGAAATTATCAGTCTATAATTTTAATGGTAGGTTTATTTTAACAGTGAGAGACAGAATAACAACCAAAAATATCCAGAAAACAAAAGTTTCACAAAAGTTATAAATTGATATGCATTTTAATGAGTGAAAGAAATATTTGACCCCTTCGCAAAACCCGACTTAGTACTTGGTGGCAAAACCCTTGCTGGCAATCACAGAGGTCAGATGTTTCTTGTAGTTGGCCACCAGGTTTGCACACATTTCAGGAGGGATTTTGTCCCACGCCTCTTTGCAGATCCTCTCCAAGTCATTAAGGTTTCAAGGCTGACGTTTGGCAACTTGAACCTTTAGCTTCTTTCACAGATTTTCTATGGGATTAAGGTCTGGAGACTGGCTAGGCCACTCCAGGATCTTAATGCGCTTCTTCTTGAGCCACTCCTTTGTTGACTTGGCCGTGTTTTGGGTCATTGCCATGACCCATTTTCAAGGCCCTGGCTGAGGGAAGGAGGTTCTCACCCAAAACCTGATGGTACATGACCCCGTCCATCGTCCCTTTGATGCGGTGAAGTTGTCCTGTCCCCTTAGCAGAAAATATCCCCAAAGCATACTGTTTCCACCTCCATGTTTGACGGTGGGGATGGTGTTCTTGGGGTCATAGGCAGCATTCCTCCTCCTCCAAACATGGCGAGTTGATTTGATGCCAAAGAGCTCGATTTTGGTCTCATCTGACCACAACTCTTTCACCCAGTTCTCCTCTGAATCACTCAGATGTTCATTGGCAAACTTCAGACAGGCCTGTACATGTGCTTTCTTGAGCAGGGGGACCTTGCAGGCACCGCAGGATTTCAGTCCTTCACAGCGTAGTGTGTTACCAAATGTTTTCTTGGTGACTATGGTCCCAGCTGCCTTGAGATCATTGACAAGATCCTCCTGTGTAGTTCTGGGCTGATTCCTCACCGTTCTCATGATCACTGAAACTCCACAAGGTGAGATCTTGCATGGAGCCCCAGACGGAGGGAGATTGACAGTTATTTTGTATTTCTTCCGTTTGAGAATAATCGCACCAACTGTTGTCACCTTCTCACCAAGCTGCTTGGTGATGGTCTTGTAGCCCATTCCAGCCTTGTGTAGGTCTACAATCTTGTCCCTGACATCTTTGGACAGCTCTTTGGTCTTGGCCATGGTGGAGAGTTTGGAATCTGATTTGACTGATTGCTTCTGTGAACAGGTATCTTTTATATAGGTAACAGGCTGAGATTAGGTGCACTCCCTTTAAGAGAGTGCTCTTAATCTCAGCTCATTACCTGTATAAAAGACACCTGGGAGCCAAAAATCTTGCTCATTGAGAGGGGATCAAATACTTATTTCACTCATTAAAATGCAAATCAATTTATAATTTTTTGAAATGTGTTTTTCTGGATTTTTTTGTTGTTACTCTGTCTCTGCTAAAACAAACCTACCATTAAAATTATAGACTGATAATTTCTTTGTCAAAATCAGCAAGGGATCAAATATTTTTTCCCTCATTGTTTCAACATATAGAATACCTTCCTCAAACAGGTTAAGGTTTTGAATAAGTTAAACAGTATTATTTCTTTGTTTACTGTTGTTTCCTAGAAAAGTAGCTTAGATCATATGTATAGTGAAAGGAGGTTCATGCAACTCACCAGTCTACAGAAGCCCAGCTTTCTACTGCCTGCAGTCCTGTCTTAATGTTCTGCAACATCTCCCCATCAACCTCTGAAGACTGCGCTAGACTAAACACTTGATTGACGACTGAGGATTCTCGAAGGATGAGGCCTATGACCATGCACCAGTCCAGGCATCCTGCTTCCATGAAAATATGAAGCAAATACCTACAAAAAGACCCAAAGGCACTTTCTAAGGCAAAGAAATATTCCGTTTTCCCCACAGGATATTATCCTTGGTCCCCATCCTCTAAGAACAACTCAAAGGAATCCCAATGATAATACAAACTCGCATTTTATTTACCGCAGCTGAACTTGTGATTTGTGTGGCCCTTTGCTGGCTAGCTCCAAAGAGATATGTTCCAATTCAGACTGCGTCAGACTCAAGGTGGAATAATTTTCATCCACCATAGTCCAGTCTCCATCCACAATAGAGCTTGTTTCTGTCAGATCCGTGGCGGAGCCAATGCTCCCCTCATCACCTGTCAAATACAGCAAAACAAATACAGATGTTTTGGTTTCTCTGTGACTTATTTAAAGTGTGCGAAAAACTGCATCTCAGCAGTATAGAGTAGTGTACCTTTGGCTGTTTAATATTTTTATGGATAAATGTATGAGAATGCTTGTGGAATGTTAAGAAGCATGAAACCTGTATGTATTTTTGTATGTAGATGTCATGTTATCAAGTACCACATCTGCAGTGAACACTAATCTATGTGATGCACGAAAGTGTTTGTACCTCAAAAAATTAAGGTAACAAAACAAGTTGTGTTTCACTGGGAAAACTGAGTGAACAATCATAAAGTACACATAAATAGCCAAAATAGCAGCAAATAAATGACTTTACTAAGGAAGGGGAAATGGAGAAACAAAATTTAAAATATGTAAATGCTAGAAGAAAGGCTGAGGGCGGCATGTTTTCTGTTGCAAGGAAAAAAAGTTAAAATAGTTGTGTACTAGAGCATGAATCTCCCCAACGTGCAAAATGGAAATGAGAATTACTCTAGGTATGACTGTGATATGGGATACTTAAGAAGTGGATGCTATAAAACAAGAGATAGGATAAGAATGAGTTGGTGCTGAATAACAGTGAACTGAGTACAAACTAATTTAGTCATATAGGTAGTCCTCTTTTAACAAAAGCTCGTTCAACAACTATTTGAAGTTACGGTGGTGTTGAATGAGACTTGCAACTGTTCCTTGTAGTTGTGGTCATTGTAGCATCTCTTGGTCAGAGGATCAAGATTCAGGCAATCGACTTGGCTGTGTCCCTCAGTCAGAAGATCACCATGTGTGACTTTCACTGCCAGCTTCCAACAAAAGTCAATGGAGAAGCTGGCAGGAGGTCGCAAATGGTGATCACGTGACATCACACCCAACAACTATGTGAGATTTGCTTAATAACTGCAACTTCAACTGCCACCTTAAGAGGATACAGTCACATGACATTGTATTTTATGACCACGCTGCTTAGTGGCGGAGTTGCCGGTTCCAAGTACCTCTGTCAAGGAAGGACTATCTGTACAGAGAGAATGAATGTGAATCTAATAGCAAAGCAAATATACAAAGAGTAAACTTGTTGAGAGTAAGAGGGCTTTCAGGAGGTTGTGCTTAATGAATTCCTTAAGAACAACAGGTTAAGAAGTTTGGTCATAGTTTATAAGGACAGACCCATAAGGACAGTTATACTGAATGATGTTGATTTGGAACAAGACAGTTTGTTCTAGTAGTTAGGGCACCAGGCTGGAAACCGGGATATGGTGAGTTCCCTCCTTAGACCTGAAAACCAGCTGGGTGAGTTTGGGCCAGTTACTCACTCTTTGTTCAACCAATGTCACAGGATTGTTGTTATGGGGAAAATAGGAGGAGGAAGGAGGATTAGGTATGTTGACCACCTTGGGTTGTTTATAAAAATAATAAAGGTGGGATATAAGTAAACTTTTTTTCAATTTAACATTTATTATTCTTGTTCTGCACTTTGTGAGCACTGCTTACTCCAAAAGAGATCAGCATGGTCACTATACATGTACATATGCTATCTTGTGATGAAGTTCTAGATTGCTGCTGCCAATAGAATTCCTATTTTGAATTCATTCCAAATATGAACATATTATTGGTTTGTTTTTTTCCTCTGCTATTTAATCCTTCACCTTCTGCATTATTCCTAAGAAAGATGAAGAAGCAAAATGGCCATTGTTATATATGAAAAGTATATTTTTTATTTTCAGATAAAACACCCATGATCACCTAAAAGAAAGCCAAATATCAGAGTAAAAAACTCACCCACTTTACTTAACAAAGGTGAGAGAAATGCCTCCTGCATTTGAGGGCCGTGGGAAGATGCTGTATCCATCTCTCTTTGGGAGGAGCTGATGGCACCAAACCAGCTATGACTCCTTGGTACATCTGGGAGGCCACTGTCTATTTCCATGTTTAAAAAGCTGTCAGCAGACTGTGATTTTAAGAGTTGTTCACCTATTACTGGAAATGAAAGCATGGGAATAGCCTTAAACATGCTATTTAATATTTCAAGCTTAATTCATTTCAAGGACTTATAACCAACTCCTAGTACTTCGGGATATCTACCATGAGCTTCAGTATAGATTAATAAAACCACACACAGTGTAACCTGCACACAATGAAACCAAACCCGTTTATTTTCTTTCCTATGAACACTTTAACTGTAATATTCATCAGGTAGATAGTATCCTCTTCCAACAATTGCTTGCTATATGTTTTTATTCTTTGTTTAAATAGTTTAATTTCAAAGACTGAATTAAACATGTTTAATCTTAATGTGCTAATGTGCAGCATAACATGAATTCAAAATGCCTGCTACATTTGCCTCTATGGTAGTACCAACAATGGCTTTGGTACAAATATGAAAATAATCACGTAATGTCTGAAAACACAAAATGAAAGGTAACTGCACTGTAAGCTTCCATTTACTCTAAAGCTACATTTAGTTTCTGATAAATTAAACGAGAGTAAGGATAAGATACCTGTCCTACATTTTCCATTCTTCAGAGGTGAATTTATGGAGCACACTGGGATAATGGGAAATGGCCAAAGAAAATCATTGTGTAATTTCTTCAAGGCAGTCACAAAATCGTCCACATGGGCAGCTCTGTTACGCTCTTTGCACAACCAGCCTATCAACTCAAAGCCCAGCTGTGCAGCAAAACAACCAAGATCCTTAAGCCTGATTTCTTCCAGAAGACGTCGAGCATGTCTCCACAACATCATGTCAATATACATGTTCTCAGCACAATCACTTTCCTTGCTCAATCTACAAAGATAGGAAATAAGGAGGTTAACACCAAAAACAGACTTTCATTTTATTTGTTGATTTGGCCGAATTTTCTAGGAATCAAGTTGGAGTATTGTGAAATTTCAGCATCAAATAGAGTAAGTACTGTAGCATAATCTCTGTAATTTAATATATATATAGGCTTGATGCAATGAAAGATATAGCAAGAGTCGTATATTCTCTTCTACTTGATTACCTTTTCCCAGATGGGCCAGATGGCATGCTCAGGGTTTTTTGCAAGTTAAATTTGCCAGCTGGAAGTGTCTCTCCAGATTGAGACAAGCTAATACTGCGATGTCTGAAGAACTCAAAGCCACCACTTGAAGTAGGTTCCTACATGGAAGAAAGGATAAGAATAGACAGGTTGGAGAATTGGTTAGAGTTGGGCGGATGTCTAAATTGATTATATTAAATTTAAAGCAAAGAGCCAACTGGCTGAAAACTAGAAAAGCTGAGAGTAGGTTTTATGGTGAAATAAATATTTCTAATGAATTTCACAATAGTGAACTATTCAAGAAATCCTCCATCAAACAGATGCTCCCTGAAAAAATATCCACTTACTTATAATGACTTCAAAACATTTTAGATAGTAGTAACTTTTTTGCTTTCTTGTTATATTATGACATTAAGGTGGGCTACTCCTTCAGACAGGCTTAATGCTATATTTGATTATTTGTTAAAAAAAGGTCTATAACTTTTAGGATCAAATAGCTTAAGAGAAAAAACCCTCTGTCCAGGTATCTTGCCATTTGTTACCAAAACAGCATAGGCCTAGCTTGGACATCTTGCAGATTGCAGACATCAAAGCACGACTGCTAGCAAATAGTGATTCTGCTGATTCTGAGAGTGCTGTGCTAAAGTTTGAAAATATGACTCTTTCCCCCTATTCCCTTTGATCAAAATACCTGACCACCCAACTTCCTTTTAAAGGAATTTAAAAGTAACAAGCTAGAAATGGCAAAAGCAGTAGCACGATACGGATTGATGGAGTTATTTTGATTTACAAAATCAAAATTTGATTCACAATGCTTTTACCATACTTGTTTTTAGGACTAAAACAATGCATAGCCTAGTCTTGTGACACTATACACAAGCAAAGCTAAACGGACCCTTTGCTTAAGATGCCAAATAAGGGTTACAAGTTCTAGTTATCCTTAACCATCAAATAATCATGTTCACAAACAGTCATTCATTAATAAAAAGGACTATGGTTTAGTGTATGATTAGAATCCACTTATTAATCCATGTATCTGATAACTGGACAGTTAGCAAGTTCCATATGTGACTTGAACATTTTTCCCCCAAATTATATCTGGATTACTGTCAAAGACATTTATGATAAAGCAATTGTGTGCCTTTCAAACCTGAGTTGTTGGTGTAGTAGGAGGAGTCTCCGATTCTCCAGAGCCAATGGCTTTCAGAAATCTGATCATGTGCCGACAAAGATCCCACTTTCCTTTCTCCAAAGCTGTATTGAATAGCAGAGTTGCATGCTGCCTACTAACTGCTGGAATCTCCATATTCTGGAACCAATATAAACCACTTTTTACACTGATTCTTTTTATTTAGCATAACAATAAGCAAACAAAAAAGGCTGCAGATAAAAGCATGCATCAGACTTCACACCATTCATTTCATTGTCCAAGTCCAATAATTATGGCCCATGATTTTACTGTCCATGACTATGATAGGACTGCTAACTGGAAATGGCCTAGAGGCACCTATTATATGAATCAGCTCCTCTATATGGGTACTTACACAAATGACTGCATAATAGACAGTTTCATTCCCAAAGATAATTAGCATCCCTCTCTCTCTTTTTTTAATTTCTATCCTTATTTAATAAATATATACTTGTAAGAGACAAGGCTCTGTCAAAATAAGATGCCTGTGTCCTTTGGGATGCATGTTTAACACATCATATCACTTTCAGAATAAGATGAGTGAATACAATTACCTGCAGAATAATAAGGTAAGATGCAGCTGTGTCTAAATCCTGGGCCATTAAACACTCTTCAAACAAGTCTTTTGGATTTCCAACAGCAGCAAAGAGATAATTCCACAGGGCATATTCTGTTTTTCTAGCACAATGAACAACAGTCTGTAGGAAGAGGGGGAACTCTGTAATAAATTTAGCCACAGTGGGAAGGAGAGGATCGGGAATGGGATCCCGCGAGGTAGCTTCTTCTTCCAGCACTTCGTGGAGCATCAGTTCTAGTACATGAGGAAAATATGGTAATGCGGCACAAGAGTGAGCCAAAAGCAAGGCTTGTTCACCTAGGTTCCTCACCAAAAGCTGGCGTAAAATGTGATGGAGGTAGATCTGAGATGTTCTCTCAACAATACAGAAGGGGAAGAGGACCTCTAAATGTTCAACAGCACTGCTGTGAGTGTATAAACAGTCGTAAAGCACAGTGTCATTGACAGCACCAAGAACCAAGGCATCTTCAAACAAAACAGCCAAGGGGTAGATATTGATGTGGAAAGGCAGCATGATCCGTCTTGAAAGAAAGGAATGTGGTTTGCGATGGTCCCTGGGAAACAAAGGAAGCCAGACCTTCATACCTGATCCCCCACAGCTGAGCCACAGAGCCTCCAATAAGTGCCGTTTCTGTTTGTTAGAACGGCAGGTCGTCCAAACATTTTCTACAGACTGGGCAAGTACAACAGGAGCACAAAATGGCAGCTGAAAACATAGGAATAATACTAATTAGGCTATTTTCTTTTTGTCCCTTTTTACAAGTTATTCATCAAGTTTTATATGGCAACACATACACATAATTCTGCTGACATCTCATTCTTCTTTAATATAAGCATGATCAAATGTTAGTTTACTAAATTAACATAACTCTCTCTAATTTCCTCCATATTTTTTTAATATTATCCTGTTACTACAATGTATTTTCCCCATATTATTTTAAATAATCAGCAACACAGCTTATTATATATAATAACATAAATGGGTTACCAAAGTACAGAAATGAAGGAAAGGTTCAGTTAAAAATAATCTAAAGTTACAGTGCTGTTTACGTTTGCTACTGATATTAAATCCTTTATTTTTGTCTCCCTTTCTATATTTATTAAGGTATTGCTACAGTTCACATTGTTAGTTGTGTTTGAAAACAAACTTGTACATTAATCACTATCATACAATGTTGGGTAAGCAAGTACTATTTGAAAATAATAATGGAAACAAATTTAATTTGCACCTAAAAAAGGCAGTTACAGAAAAGCAATGTCACAAGAATTTCAAAAAGTTACAGTCATTCATTAACAAAGAACACTTTAGTTATAAGAGAAAAAGCTTTAGTTATAAGATCAACAAAGTATTACACATTTAGATTAATTCACAATGTGCATTCCTTTCAATGAAATTTTTCCATAAATTAACTCACAAGTTTCCTTTGGTTAGGACTACTCTCCTTTTCGCGTATCTGAGGACCTGATCGATCCCTCTGTACCATGATTAACTGTCCTGCTAAATTTAACATAATGCTCTCTGCTTCACAGGCCTTAAAAAAAACACAATGTTTATTATTATTTTTCAATTCTGCTGGATTTACTATTTTTCTAAAAGTTCAAACACATCATTATCAGCACTGTGTTTATAAAAGCATATTATTCAATTGCATTCAATCCACGCTGATCATAGACAAAAAGCTGATGACCCAACTGCCTTCTCCAAAAGGTAAAGCTGACTATCATTGATAACATTATATCCCTTATCTTTCCCAGTAGTTTATTTTTTATGCTGAACATCATAGAGCCATACTGATTCATCAAAAGTTTTACAAGTAAACTCTCATTCAGAAGAATAGCAATTTCTCAGTAGCATCACCTTTAAAACAAACAAAAAAACCCTACAGCAGGCACGCTAGCTGAGGAATTCTGGGAGTTGAAGTCCACAAGTCATAAAAGGGCCACGTTTGAAGACCCCTGCCCTACAGGAATCAGCAAAAACAGCAGCAATCCAAACCATTCCTTCATAAAGATAGTGTGTACATTAGGATGTTCAGGAAAATCAGTGTTAGTTCAAACACATGCATTTTTCTCGTCTCTTTAACCTGAAACACCATGATTTATCAGCCATATCTCCATCGTATATCTTGCCCCAACCATGGGGCAGATTTGATGAGGGACGGTGTTGTCTTATGTATACTATTTTCAAGTATAAAGTCTGCTTTCTCTAGCTTTAAAATAATTTTAAAAACTGTAGATACCTGCTGTTGCATTTTCAAGCTGATACCTGTCTCCGTTCTTACTGATGTTAAAGTAACAGACACAACAAGGAAAGGGTGAGGAATATAACGTGACATAGACACCTCTTGCAGAACCTGAATACTTGTAGTGGGATTAGGGCTGAAAGACAAAGAAAAGCCCAGTGGTCAGTCTCCTCCTAGCCCCAAATAAATATCTGTGAGACTTGAAAAGGTATTCTAATGTTTTTATTTATTAGTGTGATAATAATTTTCAGATAATACAACAATCCTTTACTAGACCAAGATATTGCAAATATTCCATGTAACTGAATAAAGCAAACAGCATTGAAAAGTAAGTCAGATTATAATATGCTATATACTGAATTATTAACTATATATATCTTTGGCAATTTTCTAATGCTTCTGGTTAAGGAAAATGTTTTCATTGTAAAGGTTAGCTTTGCTGAGTTCCCTAACATGAAGTATCTGCTGAGTTAAACATGACTGAATGCCTCTAATACTGAACTCTGGGTTATTGTTTACAAGGGGGCCACCTCAGAATGAACAAGAGCAAAAAGGACACCATTCAAATCTGCTTCAGAGAGTTTCACCAAAAGTTTCTTTCTCCCTAACCCAAGGGTAGGCAACCTTGGCTTTTATGACTCGTAGACTTCAACTCCCAGAATTCCATGCTGGCTCAGGAATTCTGGGAGTTGAAGTCCACGGGTCATAAAAGAGCCAAGGTTGCCTGCCCCTGCCCTAACCCATACTCTAAAGAAAAACAAAGTAAAACAAATTATGCAATAACATATTTGAAGTATACTTACCCATCAGATTTTCTTTTAATACTATAAAGGCAAATGGAACAGTCTGCTCTGAACAAAATTATGATGTCCCGAAAGACGCTGAGCAATAATGTTTCTGCCTGCACTTTGGTGATATGAGCAAATGCATTGTCCAGATTGGCTGTTCGTAAATATACTCTTAGCTGAAAGAATAATGAATACTTTTGATCACAAACCTATAAGGAGAATTTAAACTAATTTTCTAGCCTCCTCCTTTCATGACGAACTTATAATAAGGCAACCTGGCTGATCTACATTTTAACTAGATTTTTCAGGGAATGGATTTTTCATCTCTGTTGTGATACTAATATTCTTCATTCACCATCCCTTTCCTCCTTGAGATGAGAAAGAAAAAAAACTCTATATTTATCATGTTAAAAACACAATGCAAAAGTAATAATGGGCAGACATTTGAACAATTAAACTTACAATATGAAACAATATAACTTTCATGGAGGTAAACCTTTAGAGGGAGAATCCAATTTCTGAACTATCATACTCATAAGGAAAATGAGACTAACATCACGTTACTTATATTTGGACATAAAAATTTAGGGAATTTCTCTTATCCCAAGTATATCCCAATATAGCCTGCCATAAAACATCCTTGGAATTTTAGAATGAGTCTACTATCTCCTCTTAGTTTTGTTTGAAAAATAACACTGGGCATTCCTTATCTCAATAAGTTCATCAGTTCTGATAAAAAATATATTTACAAAAATTTTGGGGAGTATTAATTTTAACCCTAATACTTTCTGAGAACAGAAAGAAAAATGAAAATAACAAGTAGTTGAAATCTGGGACATTGTTACTGCTATGCAGGCAACAAAGTTTTAATATAACTATGTGACACGCAGATTTCTATTTAATGTTGCCATAAAAGTGCACCAACAGAAGAATTTCAGTCTTTTATATTCAAGGTCTGCCTTACCTCTTCCTGGCGGTCACTTAAGTTGTAACATGCAATGACAATGAAGTCATTCCACCATGCTAAGCCTCCAGTAACAGTCATATTTTGTTCCTAAAATTAAATGGAAAGCTAGAATTATTCAACTTTTTAAAAATCTACTGTTTACTCCAACCATCAAGTGTATAAACCTCAATGACATTCTATAAATTGGTAATAATATTTTTAGATAACAATGTTTCTTTCCCCATTAATTAATGTATAATCAGTCACTTACCTGGGTAATGTTGCCAAACAATTTCCATTTTTTGGAAAGCAGAGAGTAATGTGCAAAGCCAAATTTGCCAACTACAGCTACATTCTGCCCCATCTTATCAATGGCTGAAAACTAAACAAATGCAACTTGTTAGATCCTTGTTAACAGAGGAATTATACTATTTGCCCTATTTCATTAATAATAATTTCTAATACAAGCTGCCCCATCGAATTCATTTCTATAAAAAATGAAGTTTCTATCTCAATACAATATTGTAAAGTATTAACATTTTAAAACAACTTACCCTTATAGGCCAGTTGATTTCTAAATATATATTGTGAATCTTGAAAAAAAAGAAAAAAGCATTATGAAAAATTATTACAATTACCACACTTCATCAAAGTCAATAGATAAAATATTACATGGTTTCACCTGCAAATATTTGTTCCCATTTTCAGTACAAGATCTCTGGGTATTTCTATAGTGGATATTCAGCATTTTTTACAATATCAGGGTGACTGTAAAGGATTGTTTAAAATAAAAGGTCACCAATGATAACTACTAATGATAGGATTTGCATATAATTTGTCTCAAAATGTCTAAAGCTGAGTACATTTTGGTAGAAACAATGCTACAATAATTATGAATTTTAATAAAGAAAAATTAAGATTGGAAACATTGTGTTTTTATATCAAATATACTAATAATTTATTGTACTATGCAAACCTATTGGAATAATCATCTAGCACAGATCCTTCTATATTTTATTACCTACACTGGAAGTTTTTAAGAAGAGACTGGACAGCCGTTTGTCTGAAATGGTGTAGGGTTCCTGCCTGGGCAGGGGGTTGGACTCGATGACCTCCAAGGTCCCTTCCAACTTTATTATTATTATTATTATTATTATTATTATTATTATTATTATTATTATTATTATTATTATTATTATTATTATTATTATTATTATTATTATAAATTTTTAGTTCCCAAATCTGAGAGGTTACTTGATCTATGGTTATATCCTGACATGCATATCAGCTGTTGAATCTAAATCATTCTTTATTTTATGCCAGGGGTCTTCAAACTTGGCCCTTTTATGACTTGTGGACTTCAACTCCCAGAATTCCTCAGCCAGGCACGCTGGCTGAGGAATTCTGGGAGTTGAAGTCCACAAGTCATAAAAGGGCCAAGTTTGAAGACCCCTGTTTTATACCTTTCCCCTCATTGTAACTTTCTCACTTTGTTTTAAATCCAGCACTCGCTGATAATCACAAAGTCACAATTAGATAGAGGCCAAAAATACTGGGGACCCATTTCTTCCCTAACCTCAATAAAAATGGAACCATCCTATAGTGGTTCCTGAGAAATATTATAAGGTGAGCTCTAAACATGGAGCTATGACTTAATGCAGGGGTGTCAAACTGCTGACCTGCGGGCCGGACATGTCATGCGGAAGCCACGCCCACCCCATTGCCGGCAATGGCAAAACAGTCCCGATACGTTGCGTGATGTCACAAGTTTGACATGTCTGACTTAATGTGTGGTTTGGCCCTTAAGGAAATCAGGTGTTTGGCATTCTTTCTGCTGAGAGGTTACTTGCCTGATTAGAAACATTTTAATCTTGAAAAAAAATATATCTTAAAAATTCACATGAATATTTACCCATCTGATAGCTAATGACTTTTTCAACAGTCTGTCCTCCTATGTTAAATGATTTGGTGGAGTATTAATAGCCAATCTGATTTATTTTTATTTGCTTTCCCCCCCTTCCTACTGCAAAGAACATTCAAGGAATTGAATGATGTAAAACAATTAAAAACCCAATGAAACAACTATAATAATACTATAAATAAAAAAAACTGGCTGAAGAACTAGTCTTTAATTCTTTTCCTGAAATGTAAAACTGGTGACTAAAATTCCATAGCTTGTAACAATCCACAAATGGATGGTTGTAAGTCAAGGATTTCGTCTACACTATTACACGAGGTCAAATTATTATCAAATTTTATTTGCGTCTATATCTTATATATTTATTGGCATATGTATATTTATTGGCATGTATATATGTGCATTCTATCAGGAACATAAGTAAAAAAATTCAGTTAGGAAGTTTTAACAGTAAAGATATTTTGATCCTAATAGACAATAGCAATTATAGAGCTATATTATGGGAAAGCCACACTCAAAGTTCCAAGCAGTTTAAGACGTAGCCTTGGGAAGTCACTAGTTTTTAATCTGGTCTTCTTTCACAGCAAAAGCTGACAGGTTTTCAAAAAATAAGATACGAAAAGGGAAGCAGTCAAGTGCCAAGAGAAGAAGTTACCTGTACAACATGCCAATGTCTGTGCCCTAATAAAGTGCTTAAACCCTGAGAATCTAAGTTCTCATATGAAAATTGGCCTCTTTCTCTGACAGTCTTATGTTCAGCATGTGCTGAGGAACTTCTAGGATTCTGAGCTTGCACTACATCACCACAGTTCAAGTATAAGCGATCTTCTCCCTGAAGGAGGACCTGCTCCTGGCTGCTCTGTGAATAAACAAAAGAAATCAGTACTTCAGACAGTGAGGAATAACATAAAGTTTCAAAGAAAATAAGAAAACCAAATAAAATTGGAAAAAGATTATTTAAGAGTGGTAGCACTTTCATGTTTCAAATGTTTGCACAGCCGTATTATTATATACAATTTCATTTACGTTTTAAAAAAAACAATTTTAAGATAATCCAAATTAGGCAACGTTTTGACCAAAAAGGTAATAAAATTGACCTAGGACTACAAATCATCAAACATGAACCATTACTTACTATGCAAGGATTAACTGCGAGTGCACTTTTGATGAACTGAAATTGCAAAATACCAAAATGCTGTCCTTTGTTTTTGCTCTCAGTCACTGAATTTCCAAAATTATTTGCATCGATTACCCATAAATGATAACCTTCTGATCCCCAGCTCTAAGGGAAAAAAATAAAAAATAGAGTGTATCATTTATCATCATTCTGAGCCGTGGCGGCCCAGTGATTAGAATGCAGTATTGTAGGCTCACTCTCCTAACTGCCAGCAGTTCAATCCTGATCGGCTCAACGTTGACTCAGCCTTCCATCCTTCCGAGGTCAGTAAAATGAAGACCCAGATTGTTGGGGACAATAGGCTGACTCTGTAAACTGCTTAGAGGAACGCAGGGGGTTGGACTCGATGACCTCCAAGTTCCCTTCCATCATCATCATCATCATCATCATCATCATCATCATCATCATCACTACTACTACTACTACTACTACTACTACTATTATTATTATTACTATGAAGCAGTATAAAAGTCTAAGTGCTATTGCTATTTAAAACAACTAAAACACTGGAATAAAGAAATACTGTCTAGAATTTTTCTACTCAAAAGAATGCTTAATATCAAGTTGACACCAATAAGTGTAATGAAAAGCACATTTCTCCTCCTTTATGTCTCCCTTTTCCACCATTTTCAGATATTTTCACCATTCTATATACCTCTCAGAGCCATGTGCTAGGAAAAACTGCAGACAAAATCCCTACCCAAAGGTCAGGCATATTCTGTGAAATATCGGTAGTATTTGCAGAAAAAAGTTATCCAAGACATATTCCAGTTCCTATGAACTGAATGGTCTTATTATTCTGGCAGAAGGAATGACATGCTGTGATTTTCTAAGATGCTAAGTCTTATGAACCTGAATATTTGTCTTTGTGTAAATTAAGTAAATTAAATTAAGAAAGTAACTTGAAAATATCTGGATTGTAACATAAATGCAGAAAGAGGCTCAACTTAAGTAAAGTGGATAAGTCCAGGTTAATTTATTTGGGAAAGTATTAGAATAAATTTTAATTGTGTGTGCCTAGATGAGGGAGAAAAAGAGACTAGTAAGACAATAATAAATGATGCTCACCATAGAGCTGATCTTTAGAGGGTCCTTTTTAGTACCATCAGTTTGATGACTAAAATGAATAGCATAAACAAAATATTACATTTAAATATTGGATATTAAAGAGAATTTGTCTTTCAATTCACTACATACATACTAATTAGGAGGCATTTTTAATTCTGTTTCCAAGTCCCTCCTTTTCATCCTTGATATATTAAACCAAAATAGGCAAGAAAAATAGGCATTATATAACAAATATTTCAGCAACCCTATTCTAGGGATTTTTAGTATCATTTGTACTTTTCTATTAATTTAGAAGTATCACATCAGATAGGTTTTCTCAACTTCAACAAGTCTACTAACCACGAGGAAGCTCTTCTGTGGCTATTAAAAATAGCTCTGAATTTCATGGTATACATCACACATAAAAACATAGATCTATATTTTGTACAACAAAGACTGAAGGGAAAATTGGTTTTGTAGTTGCAGACATGTTAAACATTTCATTTATTAAAATATTGTGCAGAAAAAAATGAGCCTTTTACTTTACTAACTCAGTCAATAATATATACAATATGAGATATTAAACAGCTAAGCAAAGAAAAATAGTTTTAAAAGCTTTGTGTAGCAAATAAAAAGTTGAAGAGCAGGTACATATTTTGGTTAAATTTCCTAATATGAAACACAAGTTACTTACATAAAGTCACCTCCTAGAGTACAAATAAGATGGGCTCCAAATACACTCCATAAAGACAGGCCTCCACATTCCCAGGTCACCATAACAACACAATTATCAGGAGACCATCTGATGAGTTTAACAGCCCCTGTTTTGTTCCAAATATCTATTGAAATACAAAAATTGTCGGCAGATTTTAAAAAAAACGTTTTTAACATTTTTAACTATTTTAAAGATGGGCAGTAGTTGAATAGTGTTTATTTAATATATTTAACTCTCACTTTTCTTCTGGAAATTCAAAATGGCACACAAGGGATTCAATTCAATCTCATACTTGTTATTCTTTCGGGATCAGAAAAAGAAACTTAGTTACAAGTGAAGAAAAGACTGTAGTATATTGGCTCTGTGGGAGCGGTGATATCCCACAAAATATTAATCCTAACAGGATGCAATTTAATTTCATTAAACTCTGCACAGTTTCATCCTCCTCGTGAGATACATAGAAGTAATGCACAAAAACAGAGTGAGAAGTCATCAGGATTAACAGAAAATGCATATCCACATTCTGCCCTCCCTCTTTCCTCTGTATAAATTATTCTTGCTCAAGGATATGAAAAACTTCACTGGAGCTCTTAGCTTAGCTGTTGTAGATCTTGGGAGCCTTGCCACAATTCCTTTCAAGCAAGTAAAAAATATTGGAACAGCATAAGTCAGTGATGGCGAACCTTTTAGAGACCGAGTGCCCAAACTGCAACCCAAAACCCACTTATGCATCGTCGAGTGCCAGGTGGGTGTGGCCCATTGGGTGAGTGTGGCCCATTGGGTGGGCGTGGCCCATTGGGTGGGCGTGGCTGCGGTAGTAACGGCAGACTGGGTGGGACTAAAAAGTTCAATCAATCAATTCCAACTTTGCAAGATCTCTTTTTTTCCTGCGAGAAGTTGAAATTGACTGATTGAACCTTTTTTTTTTTTTGTACACAGCGGTGGAGGTCTAAAGCGAAAAGGTTTTATAAAACCCAGCTGAAGGCCTAGGACTGAGTGCCGCCTCTGGCACCAGTGCCATAGGTTCGCCACCACTGGCATAAGTGAACCTTATAACTGTTTCCAAGCAGTTTCTCTACTTCTCTAACAAGCCTGTAGTCAGAGTACGATACCGAAAAATGCAAAGTAAGATTTATAACTTTCTAAACTATGTGCTAGATGTATAAATGTTGGTGCAAAGGGAACCTTTTTTCCTGGTAACTAACTACTCGATTTTTCTTTGCATGACTAAGCAAACAATGCATTGACATTGAGTAACTAGTAGAACAATCTGGGTTGGAAAACCATTATGGCCACTAGATTTTTTTAAAAAAAAAGAACTATGGCAAACACAGCTCTTTCCTAACCTCTAGAAATTTTTTAGATTTTTTTTCAGCTCACACCTGCTAGTTCTATTACTGTTAACAAACAGCTGATGACTCCTCCTTAAAAGAAAAAAAATAACTGTCTTTACGCAGATGGTACAGCCATGAGCACAACAGCCTGACTGTACTTTATGATGGTTGATAACAATATTTTAAATTTTGTCAGAAATATATTGTCTGCTACAGAACTGTACAGGATATACATAATTGAATGAGCATTGACCCAGATGATTGGATATGTAGCTTAGCCTTTTTTTACGAACACTGTATGCCAAACTGTTTACTTGTTATAAATCAATCAAGGAGGGATATTACCAAAAAGATGATAAACAATCCAATCTGAGCTTTAATATAATTGGGCTTACCGGGATATTGCTTGGGTGTTAGTTCCAGTTTGTGAGACAGTTGCATGGCCCCTGTGGAATGATCTATTGTATACACTTGCACAGAACCACTAGAAAAGAAAAAAACCACAAACAATTCTGAGATAAGAATTTTAAAATTAAGCTGATTAGATGAAAATCTGAATTGAAAGACTGTCCACTTCATATAATTAATTCAAATACAGATAGTCCTCAATGTATGACCACAACTGAGCCCAAAATTTCTGTTTATTTGCTAAATGAATTTTGCCCTATTGTATAACCTTTCTTGCCTCATTTGTTAAGTGAATCACTGCAGTTGATAAGTTAATAACCCAGTTAAGTGAATCTGGCTTTCCCATTGACTTTGCTTGTCAGAAGGTCGCAAAAAGGTGATCACATGATCTTGGGACACAGCAAAAGTCATAAAAATGAACCAGTTGCCAAGCATCTGAATTCTGATCACATGATCACGGTGATGCTGGAAAGGTTGTAACTGTGAAAAAGGGTCATAAGTCACTTTTTCAGTGCTGTTGTAACTTTGAACTAAATGAACTGTTGTAAGTCAAAGACTACCTGTACCTCATTAGTGTCAGAGGGAAACAGATGTCATAATCATATTAGGGCTGTGCAGAGAGCTTGACTAGAAGTGTCGGGCATAAATGTAGCATCTGCAGGCCTTCCTTAAACCAATTCTAGATTTAAGATAGGACTTATTGAAAGAACTGCTAATAGGTGCTACATGAACATCGTGCATCCAACTGAATCCATTGGGATCTACTAGATCAGGGCTTTTCAACCTTTTCACCAATTGTACCACTTTTAGAATATGGCAATATTCAAGTACCACCAGTCGCCTAGCAAGGTGTCAAAAACTTGATGACCAAGAAAAGCAGAAAAAAGTGATAAAGTACAGGTAGTCCTGACCCCCCCTTTATATCCTCTGTTCTCTCCCCCGCTTTAATATCCTCTCTTCTCTCCCCCCCTTTATATCCTCTCTTCTCTCCCCCTCAGCAGGACCCAGGCAATGCCTCACGCAGCTCCAGCTGAATCTCTGCATGAAGACTGCGTGAGGCTGCCTGCCACCCCCAATCAGCTGCAGCTGCGTGCAGCAATCCTGGGCTCTCAGCAGGACCCAGGCAATGCATCATGCAGCTCTAGCTGAATCTCCACCCGAGGACTGCATGAGATTGCCTGCCATCGCCAAGGCTGCCACCAATCAGCTGGAGCTGTGCGCTTTGATCCTGGGCTCTCAGTAGGACCAGGCAACGCCTCGTGCAGTTCCAGCTGACTTTCCCACAAGCCTGTGTGGCGCTGCTGCCACTTCACCTCATCCACTTTTACACTTTTTTTTACACATTTTTTTACAGTGGTGTTCAACCCGTTATACGCGTACCACCTGCAGGTGCCAATGTACCACTGGTGGTACGTGTACCACCGGTTGAAAAGCCCTATACTAGATAAATAAATATGCACAGTGCTTGTTAGATTGGATTGGTTGGCTTTCTTATTTATTTCTTCACATCCAACCTTTTTCTACTTTTATACCATACAGCAGATAACTTAGAAATGCAATGAATAGTCAATCTTTTAGATAACAACAGAATGATCTAATATTCTGGTAAATTATTTTCACAGTACCATTTCATATTACAATATGAGAAATGGCCTTCTTGTAATTCAGAAAATTTGAAGAAGTTTAAGAAAGGGCAACAAGGGTACTTTTAATGCACTAAAAACTAAGTATTATGAAGAGAAAGTGAAGGCATTTGGCACATTTAGCCTTGAGGAGAATGCAGTGGATATGATGGCACACCTCAAATATCTGACAAAAGAATGTCAAACATGTTCTACATGTGTGTAGAATATAAGGCAAATAATAATCAACTTATATGAAGGCAAATTGTACAAAAAACCTTTGTACAAATATTCAAACAATATTTCTTTTTCAACACCACTACTCTAAAATGTTTTGAACATTTTACAAGAAAAAGAAAAGCAGTTCAGAGCAAGCCTTTTGCTCCTTTGTTTTTTAGCCTTAAGCATATAAACACGGCCTAATAATCCATTTTGAGTGCTATTTACCACAAACCTTAGCTGCAGGAATGAGGATGGTGATTATTTTAATTCCATAATAAACAATGGAAATAATAGCTAACCACACTTTTTGCAGACTAATCCTGGTTGGTCTGGGCAAACAGACCTGATAAGAAGCAACAGGGGATGAATTTCCTTTAACATTAAGTCTATTTTTATTATAACAATAGCAAAAATACACTTCTCTGGTTACTGGTTTGAGACGTTTTTCTACAACCATGCTTATATAGTATAGGCTTGACATCTAATATCGCTCAATGAACATAACAGATTTGCTGCACTTGGGAACCTGAACATTGATTATTATAGCAACAACTGTTAATGTACAAAATACAAACACCATTAATTTAAAAACAGCGGAATTGAAAAACATGCACTTCCGCCAACCCTATTAGATAACTACGTAATTAATTAAATTAATAACTTCATTTACAAGAGATAGTTTTCCCCATGATATGATACACTTTGGATTTGCATTTAAAAGCAAAGGTAATGTCCTCTTATAGAAAGAATGGTAATTAGGAATTCAGGAACTTTAGCATAGTAATAATTTTATACTCAAGATAATCTAAAAAGAATATATTCCACTTCTGAGTTAAGCTGTTCAACTTACTTTGCACAGCCAAATGCCATTAATCTGTACTTGTTGTTTATAGCCACACAAGTCCCATCGAAAACCTCCTGTGCCCAAACACCATGGAGTTGCTGCAAGAATATTTTATTCAAGTTATCTGTTTAGCTTTCAGCACATTGTGTTACATCTTAAAATGAGGTGTGGCCTATATGCTCTTTTTCAATTGATACAAGTTTTAAGCTACAGTGTAAGTACAATATCAAGCATTTTGAAATATTTATTTTATATAGTGCTAAATGTTAAGCAAAGAATGTATAAATGATGCACATGAGAACAACATACGTATTTCAAGGAAATAAATTTACAAAGAACAAAATGATATAGTTCAAATTTATTAGAATATAACAATATGAGATTATGAAACAATCAGATATTCTAGAAATATTACTTGTCTATTTTCTCCTTTCTTTATAGGGGTAATCTTCCATTAATATTTTACTGCCAAAAAATGAATCTTATTTTATTTATATATTTCTGTAAATTAACCCTATCTTCTAGTAAACAAGGCTAACTATATACATTTTTACAATTTCTCAAGCATAGCTCAAATATTATTAAATGGACCGATGAGAAAATATTTTGATATATCTTGGAAAAGCCAATCAAACTATTATTGAACTACTGAGAAATCTTACCTCGGCTGTGAATCCACTTGACATTGGTGTAATAAAACCAACTCTACCATCATTAAACACTACGGCAAATCCATCAAGAGTAGCACAGTATTCCATATTTCTTATGTGCACATTTTCAAAACCCAAAAAAGAACCTGGTAAAGAACACAGTTATTAAAAGCTGCCATTATTAAAGTGCAAGCTCTCTTCATCAGTTCTATTTCCATATAAGAAATGGGAATTGCTTTGAATTAATAAAAATATCAATTAAATTTTAATTCAGAATCTCCACTTTTCAACCATATATAAGAAATACCTCTAGATGAATGTAGATCCACTGAAAATGGTACTGTACAGAGATTTATGGCTTTCCTTCCATTCGTCAAGCCATTCCAGTGAATAAGATGGAGAAGACCATCAGCCGTAGCAATGATCAGATCCTCTAGCATGGACTGTAAACTACAAGCAAGGCACATTGTTTTATCAGACATTTGATACAAAAGAAGTGAAATTTTTACCAATACATCAATTCTATTTAGAACTTTTAAACATTTTTATAGACATAACCCAACACCACCTCCAAGATCTGCTCTAAATAATTCTCCAACTCATTGAAGCAGGATGTAGGGATGGAAGGACAAGAATTATTGAAAGTAGCCCTGCATTCTGCTAAGAGAGGCAGAGTAAATCGGAAACAGACCTTTGGACACTACTTTAGAGCTTCCCAACTATCTGAAATTAATCAGAGTGGTATATACAGTTCCCCTTCTATTAAGCATTCAGAGCAGAGAGAGATACGATGTTACATTATTTCACGTTTGCATGTACAAGGTTGTACATGGTTTCCATCTCCTTTACTTTAAGGGAAAAGGAAATGTTCCATTTTTATACAATGTATATATTGTGTTTTCAGTTACATTGGTCACCATTAGGAGGCGTTACATGGCCAGATTGGTCCTATTTGGGACATGCCACCCAAAGGTAGCCAGTGGGGCTTCAATGGGGTTCAGACCCTGCATTGGCAATTGAGCTCATGAATGTTTGTACTTTAGATAACTATAGATATAGTACAGACTGTATACAAGTGGTCCGTTGACTGCTTGTTCAGAGATATGATGCCATTGAAAAAGGAGACTCATAAGCAGTCTTCAAAATTGCAGCCTTCACAGCATCTCCAAAGTCACATGATCATAATTTAGTCACTTGGCAAGCAGTGCATATTTACAGTGGTTGAGGCATCCTATGGCCACGTGATCACTATTTGCAATCACCACAGCCAGTTTGCAACAAGCAAAGTCAACAGAGAAGTCACAGGAACTTGCAAGCTGCAGTCACATGACCTTGCACTTAACCTGTGGTGATTCACTTAAGAAACACCGCTAGAACTGATGTAAGCCAGTGCAGTCAGGTGACATTTCAATTAACAACCACTCTGCTTAGTGACATATTTTGTGGTTCGTAAGTGAGGACTACTTGTACAGCGCAAAAGCTCCATGTCCTGGCACTCAGTAGAGCTGCAGGAAAAGATATACAGAATCTGTCCAAACAGTATAACCAGTTTATCTGCCCTTAAGCTCTCAGAGCCCTTATATCAGAGTTTCTAGAAATTTTCTTGGTGGGGGTAGCTGTAGTATTTCTGATTAAAAGAATTAAATAGTAGATGGTGAGAAGATCTACTAAAAATTCTAAGGAACTGCCAAGCAAATTGATACTCTAAGATGACATTATTCACTTCTGCTCTTAATTATACTATAATCTGATAATGCTGCATTATTAATCACCTTATTTCCTGCTTTTCTGGTAAAGAATTTAAATATATACGTTGTTAGTCACTGTACCTGGTAATAGCTGCTTGTAAATCTAGCACTTGTTTCTTCTCTAGATTTAATGATGGAGCACATTGTTCTTCCTTATAATACGGTGTTCCTTTCAGATGGGGGCTTCCTCTTTTAAAAAAAGAATCAACAGTACTCAATACATTTCCCCCCCAAGTTCTACTGTATATATTAATATACTAATTCAGCCTGTGGTTAAATAAATCCTTAAAATAAATCTTGATCTGAAGATATACGATAAAGCAAAACATTCCAAGCACCCACACACATTTCTATTACAAGCTATGGTCCTGAAAACAATTCTTATAAAAAGGCCTGGGGAGACCAATACTCAAGTCTAATTCACACTTTTCCTCCAGCCACCAAAGCAAGCTATAGGAAATGCTTTTCAACCCCAAAGTACTGCATGGCACTGAGATTCCTCTACCCATGGAGATATACAATATTTCAATGCAAAACACTTAACAATTATTTTGAAGTTTCATATAATCAAATATGTGGTACTAAGACAACCAAATATTCATAGCTTCCCAGGAAGATTATCTTTGCAAGAATGAGTTTTATGAAAAATAGCACCCACCGTTTCTATAACCAGATCACAATTTAATCAGTATTATGAAATCACGAAGACTGAAGACTTAGTTTATGCTCAGAAAGATATTATCTACTCAACAACAGCTATATATTGCAATTCGAAATACCTTGAAAGAAATTTTCATCAAGAAAAGCTTATCTGTGCAGAAAACACAGATTTATTACTTCACTTATTTGTACCATGATTTTCATGATACAAAACCATAAAAGAATTTATGGTTAGGTGGCCCAGAAGTTGGAGAGCAAAATGGACATCGCAAACAAACTCGGAGTGCTTGGGTATGGTTAGGAGGGCACTGACTTTTCTAGCCTGCCCTATCTATGTTTCCTGGAAAAAATACATGGGAAAATCCCATTGGAGGAAAATTCCACTTAGGGTTAGGGCACCATAAACTCGGAGAGCAAAATGGACATCGCCAACCAACTTGGACTGCTTGGGTACGGTTAGGAGGGCACTGACCTTTCTAGCCTGCCCTATCTATGTTTCCTGGAAAAAATACATGGGAAAATCCCATTGGAGGAAAATTCCACTTAGGTTTAGCGTTAGGTCACCATGACCTTGGAGCGCAAAATGGACAGTGCCAATGGACTCGGAGTGTCTGGGTATGCTTAAGAGGGTACTTATATTTCTAGTGTGCCTAATGTAGGTTTCCTGGTATAATACATGGAAAATCCCATTGGAAGAAAATTCCACCTAGGGTACAAGTAAGAAAGAAAAAAATAAAGTATTTTCAAAAATTAACAAATGTTCAGGATCTCAACCACAAGCCATTGGGAGAGATCATTTCAGGGAGAAGAGTTAGTCCAGGTGGATTAGGTTTTAAACTACCTTTATCTGTATAAACTACCTTTATCTGTTTTTCTATTTGTCTGAAATGTAAATATTTTTAACTAAGTGAATTTGAGATTATGGTTGCTTGGTAGGAAAAATTATATTTAAAATTTTATCGGGAAGAGAGGGCTGTTCTATTGTCTTTATGGCATTAAACTGTGCCATATATATAAAATACAAAACATAGTGAGTCTGAGTTTATAAAATAACATTCCATACTGAAATGATTAACAACAGTGTGAGATTTTCAAGTAATACTGGAAAGCAAGTTACAATTGCTTCAATCCAAACTAAGTTCTGCTAGAACAGGGGTGTCAAACTGCTGGCCTGCAGTCCGGATGCATCATGGTGAAACTGCACCCACCCCATTGCCGGCAATGGAAAAAAAGTTACGATACGGGGCGACACGTCACGTGACGTTGCGAGTTTGACACCCCTGTGCTAGAAAGAGCATGGACAGCTATTCTGTTGTCATACCACGCAAATTGTACTTGTAAATAATTTATGAAAAACACTGCTTCCGTAGAAAAACCATTATAATTAACTATGAACTGTAATAATTTCTCATCATGTACTGATCATTTGTCAGATAATCAATTTATAAGAACCGACCACTTTGAAGTACTTTGTATTAATGTGGGTACTATGTGGGTGCTCCAACTCTGGAGGCTTTTAAGAAGGGACTGGACAATCATTTGTCTAAAATGGTACTCTAGGACCAACAGGCTAGAAATAAAATGCAACCCCACAACCTTGCTCCCATTTGCCTCCTTAACTGAACAGCTAATATTTTCATATCCATCATTCTTTCTTGCTCTGTTTACACATACCTCCATTTCCATAACATCCTCTGCCTTCTTTTCCTCCTGCCACAAATCCAACCAATGCCTTATATCAGTGGTTAACCTTTACTTTACCACAGATCCCCCTTTAAATACATTTTGTGGCCATGGATCATGGCCATGGACCCTCCAAGACTTAACTCAAGATTTAAATCATAACATTTCTTCAAGGCTTCACAGACCCCTGTGACGACATTGCAGCCCCCAGAGGTCCATGGACCACAGGTTGAGAGCCACTGCCTTATATTTAAATTCACTTAAATTCATTTAAAATGTTATATTTAAGTCTTAAGAAAAAGATGCATTTCAAATGTCTAACATAATTTGATACTGTTTTGCAGAAGATGCCAAAATCTAATTGTTTTTCTTTTCAGTCTAAGGGGAATCAAGCCAGAATTCCATCCCAAGCAATGTTAAATCCTTCAATAGAAATGGTTCTACATTACTCTTTTTTCTTTGTTGATAGCCACTGAAAAGGTTGAAAGATATAATATGATCACACCCCTTTAAAATACTCTGACACACAAAATAGCCGTGTGAACTTATTTTAGTACTTCAATAGCTTTGACCTTTAAACTCTGAATGTAAGTTGGTGACAGAAGCAGGAAAGAATGTTTCATCTATGTTGCCACATCAACAAGAGCTTCTGTAGTCTCTTACCATAGATGTTTAAAAATGAGAAGAAATGAAGAGGAAGATCCCTAAAGAACACATGAACGACAGAAGGCAAAAACAAGTGATTCTATATAAAATGTTTTGTATGAATACATTGTATAGAAATTCTAATTCTATTACAATGAGATATGAGGGATTGTCAGCAAGAATGTTTTATAATACTCTTGGAAATTTATTTATCTATCAAGCCTAAGAGCATTTCTGAATTATATGTGTATCTCTGCTTCTATCATAAATATGTATATTTCATGCATAGTCTTTCCAAACAATTATTTTCCGAGATGATTGTCATTTTTCCATAGCAGATTTATAAGGTTTTTTTTTCAATTGACAGTGTATTATTACTAGAGGCAGCAGAGATGGGAAGAGTTTCTGAAGATGAATACCGTTTTAATCAAAAACATAAATATTTAATTTTTGGCTGAAAACTAATACTTTTTTCAAAATCACAGGACACAGTTTGATACTAGGAGAAGGAATATTTGTAGCTGTTACATACATTATTTATGGTAGCTTACTTCCCTGAAAATTAGCTAATCTCTTAACATAGTGACAGAAAAAAATTAATAGAATTCTGTTTATTAACATGAAGTAAACACAAAATGCTCAAAACATAATAGCAGATTCTTATTAAATGAAATTGATTTTTTTTAATGTAGATTGATTTCTAAAACTTTATTGTCCCTCTTGTTTATATATAATTTAAGGAACCAAGTGGTAATTATTAAAATGTTCAACTAAGATTTCATTATAAGAATGCTGAATAGCTCACTGCTTCAACAAACAGTTCCAGAAAACTCTTAAATCTTCCATTTCGACCATAGACCATCCCTGGGAGAGCATGATCTTGGAAGAAGTTTAGTCTGATCTGGAAGAATTACAGAATGTTCCAAAGTTCTCCAGAACGTACTATTCCCAAACTTGGGAGTTTTGTATATCCCCATTTCTATTAATTTGCCTTAGATGCAGCTAATTCAAGATAGTGGCTTAGTATCATTTCTATGCTATCAAGGTCATTATAGCTTTGAAAGCTAAGCTTTACTATAATGTATAGCACAAAGCAGTTTGGTCACTCAGTCATTAAGACAACTGTATTATATATGTATTATTCAGGAACAGGAAGAACATTCTACTGATATATCACTATTAATTTGCAGCATACCTTTAAGTATTTCTTGTCTTCCTATTAACAGTAGCACTTCATCATCACCAGTGCTAATAGAAATTTATGATTGAAAGGCCTTTAAGCACTATTATACTTAACAAATCCCTGACCTTAGCATATGCTTTAAGATGCCATAGTCTTTAATTTGAAATATATGTGCTTCATTCTACATATGCTACTATTCTTCAATTTAATGGAGCCAGGATTTGGGGGCAGTGAAACTATTTCATCTAATAGGCTGCAGAGAGTTATTTAATCAGTTTGGTCCAACCTTTAAGAACCAGTTGTTAATTTTTTTTCTAGATATTAGCACAACTAAGTCAAGCCTCACATGTTTCCTGCCAGATCAGGAAAAGCAAGAAGTCTAGAGCATGTTTGAGCAAGTAGAGGTCACAGCTGCAACACTATCACGGTTCAGAATTTCCAGACAGGCAGAATAGGAAAAAGGTGACGTTTGGATTAACTGTTCTACTTGCATCAAAAATCCGGGGAGTTAAAACCAAATAAAGAACATATTTTCCCTTCTATTGATACTAATGAAAAACATAGTTTCTACTGATTCGTTTTAAAAGAACTCTGTACATACTTAGGGTTTATGGATAATGCATAGACCCTGTAAAGGGGAGGGGAACTATAGCCCTTTTATAATTTGTGGATTTCAACTCCCAGAATTCCTGAGCCAACTAGGCTGGGAGTTGAAGTCCGCTAGTCATAAAAGGGCCACAGTTCCCCACCTCTGCTTTAAAGTATCTTAGTTATCTAACTCGGCATATATCAATAAAGATTTAAAAATGGAGTGGGAGTTAAAAAGAAAAAAACTTATTTCTAATCATTTTTATTTTCACAATTCTTACTCCTTATGCCTTCAGTTATTTGAAGAAAACAAGTGGCAACCAGGTTTTCTTTCATTATTAAAAAATGCTATCCAGCTGAAAGGAAATTCTTTATATGGAACATTTTTTCCTGTCAAATTTCACTTTCCCAAAGCACTTCATTTTCCAAAGGCTCTCATCTATTTTTAGTTAAACTGTATTATTTAGGACAAATTCCTGCCTTTATGTCATCAAGATGACAAAAGTCAATCCTATGTGATTTTTTTTTTCATGGCACTGTAAAGTTTGAGAACATCCAACTTATTGGCATTATTTGTTATCATTTTTTTAAAGAAATAATACAGCTGTTTTGAAGAAGCTGTTTTCTGTTCACTTTAATATTTCTCAGTTCAAAGGGTTAACATAACAATTGTTGAGGTTACCAGATGTTGGTTAATTTGATAACATTTCTGAATACACTGAATAACAAATCACTGCCAACAACAAACCATAGCCAGTATACTGAACCAACAAACCACTTCTAAATCACTGCCAACTTCTGAATATGCCTGAAATCTGCCCATCCTTTCTCTAGACAACTGAATCAGATATGTATTTTTTTTCTTATTTACACTTATTAAATAGAATTTTCAAGTTCCTGCTATTAAAACAGAATTTTAAAATTTCATATTATGAAGTAAAAAATACAAATGAATTGACAAATATATTGTATACATTACTAATATAGCCATATTTTTATGTCATACAAAAAGCAAATTTGTTTTTCTTTCCCCATATTTTCTCTTATGAATATTTTCTAATTCAAAAATAATATTTTCAGCAAAATGTTTAAGTACCAAAACAGATCTGGGGAAGGGAAAGAAAATAAAGGAAAATTCCTATTGTAACTAGAAATATGTTTCTGTGGTGTTTTTTTCTGTGAAATTTGTTTATGTAGCCCTGTACAGTGGAACAAATAAAGGATTTACAGTAAAACTTACTTGGGATACACTGGCTCATACAAGTATTTGTCTCTTGCAGAAAGAAGATTGAAAAATAATATGTATCCATTTGCAGTCTGAAAGATAAGATAGCCAAAATTAAAAAATGAATAGATTTAATTTTTTTTCACATAAATAGAGCTGTCAGTAATTTAAACTCCATATATTTAAAACATGAATATTGTATTCAAGGGAAAAAATTAAAAAGGTAGTCCTCGGCTTACAAAGCAATCATATTTATTCATGAAGTAAGAAACAGCACTCTCTTCTCCCTGAACTGCATCTTACAGTTATGAAAATAAAAAAAATGTATCAGACCATACAGACTAGTCTTCCAAGTTACCCCAATACATATTTCTAGAGTAAACAAACTTAATAAGCAACATTATCTCTGCTTTATTTTTACTCAGAAGATACTTTTTGTTCATGACATATTGAAGTTTTATATTTTAGCCAAATTAATGACAGAAAAAAAGTTTAAGAAAACCTTAAGAAGACAGAAAGGTACTTAAAAGGCAGAGGAGTTTATATTTTGAGAGAGAGAGAGAGAGAGAGAGGGAGGGAGGGAGGGAGGGAGAGAGAGAACACAATATTAGCTCAAACACCTGATTTCTGAATTTTCATTCTTTAGTTTCAATATATTGTTTTATTCATTTAATCCTAACCTCCTCATTAGATGGATAACTGCCCACATTAATAAGCATTTTTCCCAAAATTAAACTAAAACGGACTCTAAATCAAAAGCAGACACTTAAAAGAATGTTAACCAAATTCCTTCTTTTAAACAATTTAATTTTTAAAATATATTTCTCAAAGACATAAGGAGAGAAAAAAATAAAGGTTTCGGGTTTCTTTCCAAGCATGGTTTCCTGTTTTTCAGTTAAGAATATGATGGAGAAGGAAAGCATATTTCCACAGCTGCTTCACCTAGTGATATTTTTTTCTTCAATTTTTAAAGCAAAACTATTATAAGTCCAAAGATTTATCCACAGATGTGTTTCTATATCTACGTATATATTACAATTTCTAGATTATGTTCTAATTAAATTCAGTGTTTGAAAGAAACAAAAGGAACAAGATAGCACTGTCTATTTAATCTTGCATTCTTTACAATTATCTGTCTTTAAATAATTTATTCATTTGCTGTGTTATGCTACAAGAAAGTGTAAAATGACACTTTGTAGAAGTATCATCCTGACATCAGCATAGATGCACATTCTTGAGTTCCATTTGCCATACAAGTTGATAATGTTACAAGACTCAGTTCTGTATATGCTGATATGAAAAAGGCTGGAATAGTCATATTTAACCTACATTTTTCTGTAACAATTATTATTCCAACTTGTTCTTATTTTATATTCAGTTCTCTAATTTTAAGAAGCTATCACTAGCTTCCATTGGAATTTGTATAAGTAAACAGATTTAGATATAGGTTCTTCCAAACAATAGCAGTTATCATTATCGAAAGCTACAGCAGCTCAGAAGAATGATGCCAAGTTTTTTAAGCAATCCAAACCTAGTCTTGCCAGTAAAAGATCCAGGCTATCATGAATAAAATACCGAAGTCTCATGAGGTTTAGGATATCAATCTTATAAAATATTTCAAAGAGGTATTTTAGATGAAGCAAGGACTTATGCCTGTTACCTGGCTTCCTTTTTCCACCAAGAAATCACATGGATTAACTGCAGACTTGATGGAAGGGAATCAAGTTATGAACAGTTATAAATTTGTACTTCTTCATTTCAAAATGAAATGCAGAAATGAGAAATGGTTTTATTTCTCCCCTATTCTTTTGCCAGTAAATATTGTGGGATTAGAATTAAAAATGTGATATTATTTATGATATTGATATTATGTAATATTACTTTGGCCACAAATCCAAAGGAAAGCAGTGGTGTATGTGCTTGGAACATCTGATTCTTCAGATTACCTTTAATGTCAAGTCATTTTTTTCTGAGCAAGGTTTAAGCTATATGCTACACACTGTGTTGAAACTTCCAGATACTACTTTCGCTTGGTCAAACAATAAACCTATGCCTCCCTTTCATATTTGTGTATCACTGAAATTTCAAGATAATGCAAATAATAATAATTGATTGCTCCAATACTTCAAGTCTTGATACAGAAAAAATATAGTTATGTCATGTTTCAGCACTTGACCTTGCTTCTCCTTGCCTATCAAGTAATCAAACCAATTAATTTTAATATCACTGAAACAAACAGCTTGGATACTAGATTGGTTAACGACAATCTTGTCAAGTTCCATCAGTTTTTCAAACTGTATGCACAAGCTCACAACATTATACCCCTTTACCACGCCAGATTCATTACGGTTTTTATTCATTTTAAGTATGTTAATGCTACCTGGAATATTGTATGTATTATCTCAAAAATGTATTTTGATGTGGCAAAAACACCACTCTTACTATTTTATGCTAAAGAATAAAAAATACATATTACTTCTAATACAAACCACCAAGCAATTAAATAAAAATAGAGAACTTTTTTTAAACAGAATTTGCCATATTGGATAACAAAATCTGCTACTTAGAAAATCTGTTGAGATTTTGAAAAATTAGTAGCAAGAGATGATCACTAGCAATATAATAAAACAACAGTCAGGATTCGGCACTTTAATGATTTAAAACTTGAAAATATTATTTTCCTTAATTATTATTTGAAAACATATTATAATAAAGCATAGAATACCAATTCAATCAACATTCACATTTAAATTCACATTCAAGTATAAAAAGGGTCAAAGCAAATTAGTTTATCAATATGGTTTTATTTTTATTGACTGGACATTAAAAACACCTTTTATGATACATGGAGAGATAATGGGTAACAATTATGATTACCTGTATTTCAAAAATCTACTTTATTAGATTTCTTGAATAACAACCATATGAAATTATAAAGCCATTTTTTAAAAAAAAAAATTAAATGTTTTCACAACTTTGCCACAAATATATACAAAAACTGCCTTAAAATAGTGCTTTGGAATGTAATGAGTAAAAAAACAGCTAATGGCCAGCTATGATGCTAAATAAAATTAGCCAATCAAGCAAGTAACCAAGGGAGGGTAACTGTGGCCTCACAACCTCCCTGTCCCTCATTCAGAGAACCTCAAGATTGCATTGACGAATTACAGGAATATATCAAACAATGAAAATAAGAGTTTGAAATCTTATCAGAAAATGAAGTAAGCATGTTTCACCTCTAAGAAGATGTCCTACTATTGCTGTATTTGTGTTTAATATATTATAAAGATTAATGCAATGTAAAGATGTGAATATATATTTGAATGAGATACTAAAAATTCAGAATGTATGTCTTTATGAAGAATTATGATTTTATGAAGCATAATACAACCCCCAATTTAAACTTGTATTCAGACAAGTTGTTGCTGGAATCATAAGAATACAGGACACTGAATTCTTTATCCAACGTATTTGGAGGAAAGACAAAAAAGAGTACCCAAAGGACTCTGTGATAGCCTTGTGGAACAGCTCTAATTGATGACAGCTTAAAGAGATGGCCCCTGACTCTCAGATCATGATTGCTCTAAGCAAAAAAATAAAAATAAAAATGAGAAATTTAGATACCAACTCCATCTATATTTTAAATTTACTTTTAAATTAATTTTATATCTTTCAATAAAAAGTTATGTGAAATGTCTCTCTATTAGACTTATAGAATAGCTCTATACAAGATTCTTTACTTACCGAAACAGCTATCATGGTACTGTCAGGCTTCCATTCAGCTTGGTCATAATGTCCAAACTGCGACACAGCTTTTAGTGTTTCTTTGTAGCTTACAATTAGCACACTGGGCTGGGATAGGAAGAGAGATAGTACAGAACAGTTACATTCTTTTATATTTCAATGTTACCTTTTTTTAAAAAAAAGTCTAAATCTACTAGCTATTACTTTCACAAGTTCAACTCTTTCAAATAGCTTTAAACACTTTAAGTGATAGCACCCTACCTCTTTTCAAAGAAGACTATAGTACAACTATAAAAATCATTATTTATATTTTCTAAAATATTGCTCTATACCTAAATTCAACGCTTAATACCAAAAAGTATACATTAACATTTAAGAAGCTACCTCTTAGCAAACTAATTAAGAATTGTGGCTAGGAAAATCTAAGACTTCCTTATTTCAAAACCACAATATAATCTTACTTAATTGGCAGGTTATAAATTAAGCATGATGTCTTAAAATGTTCTGCTTAAAAAATATGGCTCATGCGCTATTACCAGTTTCAAACATTTATTCAAGATGTACAGCTATCATTCAAAATGGTTCAATTCAGATAGAATAGTCAATCATTCCAAAATGAGAAACGTATTAATAAAAGCTAATGTTGCATCATAATTCTCAGGCTTGGAAAGATCAGAACATTCTCTCTTGCACAGAAATGTTTATTTTAACAAATGACTGAGCATTTGTTCTGGAATTTGTTTTATAATGGTGTTTGATTTCAATCATTTGCAGCACAAAATTTCAGATCAATGTACTGGAAGATACTAGAAACATTGGAAAGTGAGCTGATGGTTCACCAAGATGCTAATTTATACATTCCCTATAGTATCAATAATATACTTCCAGAAGCAATTTGATGGGTCCCAGGAGTATAATAAAAGATTGTAAAACAAATGTAGTATGTCAAAACTATACTTTTTTCTCATTTATGAATATCTAAATGAAAATAGAGTACCACTCAAGAACTTGCTTTTATTACAAAACAATAATTTCTTCAATAATTTACTTTTCAAATTATTGCACTGTTTTTAGACACATCTGGAGATTTATGCTTTTCCAATGCTATTTCTCTAAACAAAGGCTAGCAGAGTGTTATGCACTTCCAGCACCGATTCTACAATCAATAATGATAGAAAAGTTATGATCATTATTCAATTACTTATTAATTTTATTGTAATGCTTGGTTTCTAGTATATTCAAATAAATAACCTTAGTAATATCTGCATGTTTAATCTTTTAAATGGATATCTGAAAAACTGCTTATCTCCAATTGTTTCTGCCTGGCCAGTACGTTCCAGCAAAATGAGTGTGCTCCAGCTCCCCTCCATTAAATATCACCTTGTGGGACCCAGGAAGCATGTCTTTTGGCCCCGCCCTCTGGAACAGCATTCCCTCAGAAATAAGGGTGGCACCTTTTCTAGTAGTCTGGAAAGCTTAAAAACCTGACTTTGGTTCCAGATCTGGGGACTATGTTTATTATTTGTCTAATGCAGGGGTCCCCAACTCCCGGTCCATGGACCGGTACTGGGCCATGGCATGCCAGCAACCGGTCCGCACAAACAAGCAAATGCAGGCAGCACACAAAACCACGAACTTTCCAGTCCGTAGATAAACCTTTCTCCATGGAACCGGTCCTTGGTGCCCAAAAGGTTGGGGACCTCTGGTCTAAGGTCCCTATTTTGTAGATTTTGCTGTTTATTACATCATTTTAGTTGGAGCTGTCCATCTGATTCAATGTTTTTAGCTGCGTTTATGTTTTGTGTTTTATATTTTTATACACTGCCCAAAGTCCATTGGATTTGGGTGGCCTGTAAATAAAATAAGCAATTTTACATTCATATTATAACCCATGAAATTTAGCAATGTGAAAAATTTACTTTTTAAACTCTGTCAAGCCCAAAGCAACCCCAAATTAATATACCAGCACATCATAAATGCACTAACCTCCTTATCTTTATGCTTCAAATACATTTCAATAATGATAGGAATTCAACTGAAAGATCATATCTTAAAATAAATATATGGAATATTAAGATATTGGCATTTTGGCATGTGCTGTTGCAATAATATTACTTCAAACTGTTTCAATCTGGTGCCCCTCCAGTTGTTTTGAATTACAATTTCCATTTCCTCTACTTCCATTGCCATTTAAGGCCTGCAGTCAAGAACAATGGTTGCCATAATCCAAAACACCTGGAAGGCACCAGTTGGGAATGGCTGATATAGCATTTAAAGCACAATCTTGCCTATAACATTTGGCAGTAACTAATGGCAACTTGTTGCAGAAGATAAGCTGCTGAGGAAAGCAGCACAATGGGAAAAGAGGGCTTCAGCAGTTAAGAGGAGCACAATTTATTGCCTGTAGTACTGTAATGATTTCCCCCTAATCAGAGATACTTGTACTTCATTTCTCTATTTTCTCCTTCAATGGAAATTATAGTAAAATTCTAGCTTGAATTCCAACATTAAAACTCCTATCTTCCAAAACAATTTTACATAGATATGTATAATTTATTTTATCTTATCCTGTATTTAACTCAGAAATATTGTATGAATTAGAAAAAGGAGACCTACTCCACTCTTTTTCTTTCTCAGATTATTTATTATCTGTATTACTATGGAAATATATTTTGCCATGCAAAATTAGCAAAATGAATTAAATAATCTTATAAGGACCCCATGAAAAGAATCACTTACTAAAATATGGTAATCATGCTGGGAACATACCTGCTTTTATAAATAGTTTTAAATAGTTTGTTCATATTTACAGACAACTTTCTATACTGAAAGTGATATTTGTACATTTACCAGATTCTATTTAAGGATTCTGTTAAACATTAAGTTAAGTTAAGTTCAGTTCAGAGAATATATTTCTGGTTATTTGCAGGACTGCCTTTCAGGAAGAATAATCACCCGTCCCACTGAATTAGATAGGGTGGACATACTCCCTGAAATCTTTCCATTGAGCACGAACCTTGGAAGTGTGCCTTTTCCATGGCTGCTCCTACCTTGTCGAACACCCTTCCTGGCAATTCAACAGCCCCCCCCCACCCTTCTAACCTTTCAGAAGGCCATTAACACCTGGCTTTTTACTGAGATGCTGGATTTATATGCATGGGAGGAAGGTGTCCGAGGGACAATTAAGTGCAGGGTTTGGGCTTGTTTAATTATTTTTATGATTGCTTTATTTATTGCCTTTATAATTGTTATAAGCTGCCCAGAGTTGCTTAAGATGGATAGTCATATACATCTTTTAAATAATAAGTACTTTAAAATATCTTAAGACTCAATGAAAAAAAAGTCCTACTTTTTTCTCATAAGGAAAACTGAGAATTGTATGGAAGAAAATGCATCTAACTGGACACAAGCACAGTAGCTGGTCTCAGCATGTAAGCTTATTACAAGTAAATATGCTAAAACAATAACATTATCTTGTTTTGTTTCAGACAGGCACTAGTAAGAACCATAATCATTCATTAATTTTGAAATGTTGCTCTTTCAGAAGATAGGATAATAATCAAGACTTAAATTTATTATAAATATGTATTATAAATTAACATACTTCTAAGGAAGATTTTTTACTGCGTATCAAAGGGGCAATAAAATATTTTTATGAATGTAGTGTTTATTTACATGGAAGCCTATAAAAATTTATCTGATAGAAAATTCTACTAAAATCTTACTTCTGAATAGACATGTATAGAAGCATTAGCACCAACTAATCTTATTTTATATACTGGTAAAATAACTTAGAATTCAAGAAAGTGGAAGAGAAAAGCAAGGAGAAAGCAGAAAAGAAGTTGACTGTATTAAGACTATGGCTGACCAGCTATTTCAAAAATGCTTTTATTTGTCTCCTTTCACAGAAGATAGAGCATTCTGGGAACTATCCTTCTACAACAATTCGTATCTCAAATCAATATTGCTACCTTCATCTCTTCAGTAGAATTATTTCAGTTCTTTCAGACATACTTGATGTATTTGTTTGCTTTACATTCTGATATCAGACTTTATTTTCAAAGTCATACATAGAAATTTTAGTTTTCCTTATGCATTATCATTTCAAGTGCATTTCACTTTTTTCTATCGTTTACACAAGAGCTTAAACATTTAAAAGAAAATGTCACATAGCACTGAAGCATATTATTATCTATTATAAATACTAACTGGTGTTTAAAAGATGATTAAATTTTCAGTCTTCTGATCTTGCTGAAAGATATACCAAAAGTACTTCACACTTTTAAAACAAATACTTTAATTGGCAACTCAAAATATGAAAATATGAAGTGTAGTCAGAAAAAATTATATAAGCACTGCAATTAACACTTTGATTTTAGTATCTTTAGAAGCAATCCTATTTTACCTATTTACCTATTTATAGCTCATTTACAGGATTCTGAAGGCTATCCTGCTGATTCTAAATGTGTATCATCTCAATTCAGTGGGTTAAAGGGCTTTCAGATATTTGTAAAAATAAGGATGACATAGCGCAAGTCTTGTCTCTGTTTGCTACACAAAACCTTATCACAATTTGCTTGCAAGTGATTTTTTCGGAACAATATTCCTTATTTTTTGTCCTATGTATTGTACAATACAGCTCATTAAATATGCATTGTCAATGGCAGGAAATTACAGAGTGATAGCAGAGCATTGTAATAAACATATCATATGTTATACCTGTATATCAGTGATGGCGAGCCTTTTAGAGACCGAGTGCCCAAACTGCAACCCAAAACCCACTTATTTATTGCCGGGTGCCAGGTGGGCGTGGCCCACTGGGTGGGCATGGCTGTGGTGGTCATGGCAGACTGGGTGGGTGTGGCCAAGGTGAGCGTGGTCACCTCGATGTTGCTTGTGGGGAGGGACCCCTGTGGGGGCTGGGCAGGTTGGGTGAGATCCAGGGGGTCTCTGGAAGATGGGGCGGTGAGCAGGAGGCTTGTCCTGCAGAGTGAGGCAAGGCGAGGCAAGGCAGGGCGGGGGTGCCATTGTCGCAGGGCTAGGTGAGGCAGGGGCCAGGGCGGCGGCTGCCTAACACCATCGGCCCCCGCACACAGAGGCCAGCGGGC